TGTGTGCCATGTGTGTCTTGTGTGCCGTATGTCGCATGTGTGTCTTGTGTGCCATGTGGGTCTTTTTTGCCATGTGTGCCATGCGTGCCTTGTGTGTGCCATGTGTGCGTCATGTGTGTGTGCCATGTGTGTGTGATGTGCGTCATGTGTGTGTGCCTTGTGTGTGCCATGTGTGCGTCATGTGTGTGTGCCATGTGTGTGTGATGTGCGCCATGTGTGTGTCATGTGTGCCATGTGTGTGTGATGTGCGCCATGTGTGTGTCATGTGTGCTATGTGTGTGTTATGTGTGCCATGTGTGTGTGATGTGTGCCATATGTGTGCCATGTGTGTGTGATGTGCGTCATGTGTGTGCTATGTGTGTGTGATATGTGCCATGTGTGTGTGATGTGTGCCATGTGTGTGTGATGTCTGTCATGTGTGTACCATGTGTGTGTGATGTGTGCTATGTGTGTGTCTTGTAGTTCATATGTGTGTCATGTATCTTGTGTGTCATATGTGAGTTATGTGCCATGTGTGTTTTGCGTATGTCATGTGTGTGACTTGTGTGCCATGTGTGTGTCATATGTGCCTTGTGTGTATCTTGTAGTTAGTATGTGTTTCATGTGTCTTGTGTGTCATGTGTCATGTATGCTATGTGTGTGTTATGTGTGCCATGTGTGTTATGTGTGCTATGTGTGTGAGATGTGTGCTATGTGTGTGTCATGTGTGTGTGTGTCATGTGTGCTATGTGTGTGTCATGTGTGCTATGCGTGTGTCTTGTAGTTCATATGTGTCATGTGTGAGTGATGTGCCATGTGTGTCTTGTGTGTCATGTGTGTACTGCCGGCGTTGCCGAAGGTCGACAGAGTATGGATTGTCTGGCGGAAGAGGATCTGTAATAATCACTACTCACGTCTGGCTCGCTCGACGCCCCCTTAACACATTCCGACCGTCTTGGAATCCAATTTAACAAATCCGGAGTCATATCAGTTTACACAGCTGACACAATCCTGAAAACAAAGCACGCATAAGTGCGCTCCTATGCTTAGAGGTGAATAATTTTTTTTATGAATTTCACTTATTGCAAGAAAGCAAGATGGAAATCAGATACAGCTTGCATGTAAAAATGACGTAACCAATTATTATTTAATGATACAGTAAATGTTACAGGTAGATGTTTGTCTGGGGACCACTCTATTGGCTTGCATGTTGTTTTACTGCACACTCAGCAATAGTCCAGCTATATGACGGCGGTCCGTAAATAATCGAGTCTGGACCAGACAATCCAGTGGTTGACATCACGAGCATCGATCTAAGCAATTGGAAAACGATGACATGTGTCAACCAAACCAGTGAGCCTGACCACCCGATCCCCTTTAGTCGCCTCTTACGACAAGCATCAACCAAACCAGTGAGCCTGACCACCCGATCCCCTTTAGTCGCCTCTTACGACAAGCATCAACCAAACCAGTGAGCCTGACCACCCGATCCCCTTTAGTCGCCTCTTACGCATCAACCAAACCAGTGAGCCTGACCACCCGATCCCCTTTAGTCGCCTCTTACGACAAACATCAACCAAACCAGTGAGCCTGACCACCCGATCCCCTTCAGTCGCCTCTTACGACAAGCATGGTTGCTGAAGACCAGTTCTAACCCTGATCTCCACGGGTCCTACAGGTCGATGATACACGACTTGTGTATGCTTAAAAGGTACCGGAGTTTGCACTGAAACGATGCACGTTATGAAATGGTTAAGCCGTAAATCTTTTTAGAAAGTTTACTATATTTTGCAGCTTTAGGTTCTCAGAAACATATATATCACTGTTATTGTATTTCATATATTACGGTACAACGGTATAAAGGGACGCTTGTCTGAGCCAGCAAGAGTCACGTGGTCACAGCATGATACAGGACACCGGTACGGCACTTGTTTCAACTTGATGGTCCAATAACACACTCGTTTAGTTTATTGAGTGTCCAGTGTTGAGAAAACAAACATGTCTGTACAGGAAGACCACACAAACAAGTCTCCGTTTATTTCAAGGGACGTCTAGTTGCCATGATACCGTCTTGTGAGAAAATTAACAACATGATCACCATCCTCTGCGGATGTGGTAGACTTGCACAAGTCTCTAAGGTAACAACTGATAATAAAAAGAACACGTTGTCCCTCTAACAGACTGACGTGCTTAGACTGTCCGCTTATCTAGACATGCGTCTTAGAGGTGAGGTGAGGTGAAATTGGGTTTCACGTCGTGCTTGAGAATATTTCGCTCATATATGACGACGTGCATGCGCGTGTATGTGTATTTGCGGCTGCTTGTACTAGCGAAGACTTCAAGCTGGTTTTATAGTGCTAGCCCACTGAGATACCATGCCGCAGTGAAGCATGAATACCCCACCCAGACACATTATACTGACTCCGAGCCGACCAGTCCTTGTTGTACCCATTAATGCCGAGCGCCAGACAGGGACCAACAAGTACCATATTTTAACGTCTTTTGGTATGACGTGGTCGGGGATCGAACCCGCAACCTTCCGCTCTCCGGGCGGACGCTCTAACCACTACACCACGGAGGCGGTCTATGCGTCTTAGAAGGATACACCCATCGACTTGGCGTTAGCATTCAGTACAGCCTTGGAACAAGGCTACCTAAAATCCAATATTTGCCTGCGTTGGACCAGAGACCATATACGGCATATGGTCTCTGGTTGGACTGATGATTCCACGCTAAAAAGACCGGAAAATTCATTTCATTATTGAAATATTGAGATCCGCGTACCAGAGAGATATTTCATAGCATCCCAGTATAATGGCATCAATTCGGGATACCGCTCAAAAGATCTCGTCATCCAGAGCGTCCAACCCACAGAGAAAAACAACAACTTGAGATACCAGGGCCTAATGGCGGCATGCAGGGGTAGCCTAGCTGTTAAACAGTTCGCTGAAGACCCGGGTTCGATTCTCCACGTCATGGGTACAATTTGTGAAGCCCATTTCTGGTGACCCCCGTCGTGACATTGCTAGAATATTGCTAAAAGCGGTGTAAAACTGTACTCACTCACTCCCCAAGGGCGGCTGACCCCAGGGCGGCTGACTCCAGGGTGGTACCTGTTGGGAACGCATCACTGCAAAAATCTCATCTCAGAAAAGTCACTGAAAACGATGTATTCAGAAATATTTTTTTAGATTATAAGTTGTCAAATGTGAATTTTAATATAAACCTAGTTTGGCGTGAGATTTTTAGTTTTTCAGAGCGTGACGCGAGTAATAAAATCATGAGTCTCAATCTAAAGGTGAGAGAGTCGGCAGGTATGTGCCATCGGTTACAGGCCGGGAGAGCCACATTTCCGAAACAGGTAGCCAAAATTGATGTGGCTCTCCCGGCAATAGTTATGGTTGCGTGAACATGGAATGTGGCTCTCTCGGCTATGCTGTCAAAACATCCATAGTGATTCAAAAGCGTTACTGTATTTAACACAACAAGACATGTTTCCTCATAATTTTATTCAGATCACAACCGTGATGTGGTGGCATCCGTGGGCGTTGGCAACAGCATTGTATGTTGACCCCATCTGCAACGTCCCAATGGCTCTTTCCCTCTCTTCAGCTGTTAATCGTGGCATAGTTCTCGTACTTGTGTATCATATCATGCATTCTAGGCTCTCTTTATACCCTATAGAATCATTTGATGCAAATACTGCTTGAATATTGCTACGTTTTGGCGATTGATATTGCTGTGTGTAAACAGAAAATAAAATGGAAAAATGTTACTGTGCAAGTAAAAATGTTAACCAAGATCATTTTAGGTGTTCCTAAACCCTTTTACACAATACCAAAGACACGTTTTACTTGTTTTCCCTATAATGCAAATCAGCAGATAATGTTTTAAAAGATTGAAATCATAGGAATGATTCTTTTACAATTTTACACACTCTACAACAGTTGTTTCTTGATTTAGTAATTGAAAAATGGTGACTTTAAACGGTTTATTTCTGTCTCAAAGCAGAATTTTATTTCAACCTTTTTTTTTGACATCTAAATCACTGTTATTAGGTTTTTTCGGCATGGTCGAAAATAGGAATATTTAAATCTTCTTTTTAAGAATTCATAAAGGTAGGAGGGTAACGTTTCTTTTGGCGTTTAGTGTGGGAACAGTCTTTTACCGGCATTGCTAAACACCACGCTTGTGAGTAGGAAAGATTGTGAAAACATTATTATACATGGGGACGCTCTTCTACCGGTTACGGTAATCCATTAATGAATTAATCTGTTGGAAATGTGGCTTTACCGGCTACAGCCATGTAATTGAAATGTGGCCTTCCTGGCAATAGTCATTTTTGAAATGTGGCTTTCCCGGCAATAGTCATTTTTGAAATGTGCCTCATATTAGCTCGAAAAAGAAGATCGATTGGCACAGCCATCATATAGCTGGGAAATATATTTCCGAGTGCTACGTAAACCGAGTCAGTAAAGGGTTAAAACATATCCAACAATAACTTGTTTTCTAAAAGAAACCATTTATTTATAAAAGAGAATATTCATTTCCTTACTTTGTTTTATCTAATGTAATAAATTTAGAAGTACATCAAAAACGTTTTCTAGGAAATGTGTTGTATAACATGTTTAATCATTGGATACACGTGAACGTCGTGTATCCTTTATATAGGATCACCTTGGTCACACCATCAAATATAGCAGTCAAGTAAACGTGCACCGAACTGTATATTACATAAATGGTTATATAAGTCCTTGGGGAAAACGAAACGTCGCACGTGCCAAGGGATCAGTTGTAAACAAATGTAACACGTGCAGGCTATGCTTTCTTGATTTTGGCCAACATTGGTCATATAAAACTGGGAAATTTGTTCTACAGTTGTACACTTACAACTGTAAATATATTCGACCTCACCATGGTTCGGTTATATGGAAAAGTAACCAGTAGCAAATCTACAAAAATATAAAAACAAATAACATACAATATACTACAATAACCGCTCCCTCAAATGGTAAACAAATATGGCGGTCACACATGGATTGGTCGACTGTCAACCTTGGATACTCGGTATTCCAGAGGAAATATGGGATCATATTTTCATGTCAGGTGTGTTGGATCATGTCGATCTAACGAATATTTCCGGTACTTGCAAATACTTTCAGAAGATATGTAAGAGCAACGAGTTATGGCGAAAGAAACTGCAACAAAGGTAGGTTTATGTCACTTTGTTCTACTTTACCCTTTCCCCAATGACTTCATGAAATTCTCCATGTTTATAACTGCTCCGATCCCATCCTATAGGGTGCACTCTTCGGGTTTCAGTGAGGGCCTTGGACGACATGCACTAAGTTTTGTCTTTGGGTCAGTTAAATGAATTAATATTCTTGTAACGTTGTTTGTCATGAGTTTCAAAACCAGACTCGCGCCCCCAGATTCTGGTCCAGTGAGCAAACTCACTTCATGAAAATTATTTATCTTACACTAAATTAACATGTAAGTAAATGGAAATTGCGTCAAGTGTCCGAATACTTTTTGCACGACTGTATGTATATGGCCTGTCAAAACTGTCTGGGTAGGAATGGCAATTTGTGTAGAGGCCAGGACGGGAAGGTACGGCGCTCTTGTCGAGTGGTGTCCTGACTTGGACCTAGTTACCCACAAGATGACCTGGGCCAGTGATTAGTCATGTGATAGATTCTTTCATAACTATAACTTTAAAACTGTTTAGTTACACTGCAAGTCAGTAATCATGGTAATGTTTGCATTTCTTTTTGGCTATGCACACATTCCTTCTGACTTGTATATGTTTGAGCAGAGATAAAGCTTCAGTCAACTTAGGGGATACTTTATCAGATGTTATTTCAGTGAAGCTAAAAAACTTTTGCCTGAAATCCGGTAAAACAATTCCCAAATGAACATTTTGTACCCAGATATTGAGATCTGCTGTGGATATCTTGGTAAGGGAAGGTTAGTTATGAGTTAGGTATCCTAGTAGTAAATCTGGACTGCCCAGCCCCACTGTAATTGTGTCATATCTGTTATGATAATGGAGCTTGGGGTGGTTACTTTTTTCATTTATATGAATGTATATTAGACTTCTAGCACCTCACAGGCAGCTTTGGTTATCCGGGGAAGTAATGTCCATTATGTTAATATGTTATATCCACTCAGAGAATGCCCGAGTGGCGTTGAGTTCAGATCTCTGTAAGTGGCTAGTAATGTCACGATTCACCGATGCATCAGTGCAAGCTGTGCACGATATGATACACGATTCATTTGCCTTAGTATTGATTCATATTTTGACATATACCGATTATTATTTTGATCTAGCACTAATATTTCATGTAAAACATTTTTTTGTTAAATACAAACCGGACATTATTAATAGTGAACTTAACACATTTTTCTCTTGTAATTTTGTTATACAGAACATCAGATATGACTAGACTTGGTGAGTGTGGTTGATGGATAGTTGGCTGATACTCAGACTTCCCTTTTCTAGTAATCTCTACCAAAATGTTTGGTGACTGAGCTACGGTATGAGCTTGCCATCCAGTAATGGCTGTTTGTTACGTGCCAAATATCAGAAATGTAGTATCATATCGTGACCTAAGTATCGAGATACGTATCGTATCGTGACTTCAGTATCGAGATACGTATCGTATCGTGAGGCCCCTGTATTGTGAGGTGAGGTGAAATTGGGTTTAACGTCGTGCTTGAGAATATTTCGCTCATATGACGACGTGCATGTGTGTGTATGTGTATGTGCGGCTGCTTGTACTAGCCAAGACTGAAGCTGGTTTTATAGTGCTAGCTCACTGAGATACCATGCCACAGTGTAGCATGAATACCCCACTCAGACACAGTATACTGACTCCAAGCCGACCAGTTCTTGTTGTACCCATTAATGCCGAGAGCCAGGCAGGGACCAACAAGTACCATATTTTAACGTCTTTTGGTATGATGTGGTCGGGGATCGAACCTGCGACCTTCTGCTCTCCGGTCGGACACTCTAACCACTACGCTACGGAGGCGGTCCCTGTATTGTGACATCCCCAGAGCTTCAGATAACTTTTTGTCATTGAGTGATGTTCTCGCTTGTGTTCATTTCAATTGGGTATCCTAATTTTCCTTTGAGTAACGATATGGCTGAAATATTGCCGATGTGATGTTAAATATTAACTCACTCACTCACTCCTTTGAGTAACCAAATAAATTGTACCCACCTGACTCAAACTCATTTGGGGATTTTGCCATTTTCCATTAATTATAAAACTATGATAAAGTTTAAATGTTGGTTTACGGTGTTTGTTATTTATGTTTGATCTGTAATTTGAGAAACCATAAGAAAGACTGCAAGTTGCCACATTCATGTGCTGAAAAAGAACCTCTCAATATACCTCAGTTATTATATCTCACCTCAGTAACACTCGAGCTAAGATTTGACAGTTTTGTGTGTACGCATGTAAGAGTAAATTTATTGAGTATTTACAAAAATTTAAGCGTACTTGTACCCAACAGACATAATAGGAACTGAGTTTTCACTTAAATATTTGCGTAATTTACGCAGATACGCAGGTTATCTGTACTTCAGATCCCTATAAGTGGCTGTGTTATTATTTTTGTTTCGTAGGTTAAAAGACATTAACATCTATGAAGTTTTGTTCTACATCCATTTTACTATAAGGTTGTGGATGCGACTCAGTCATAGACACCACAATCTCACTTTGTAGAGTTTAACTCACTAGGTGTGTCAGATACATGAGACTGTGGGTTCTAATCACTGTGCTTGTGGGTGAACATCCCACAAAACTCCAACTCTAATCCAGCTTCTAATTGAGTACACCACGAATTGAGTACAAGATAGAAAATATTGTCCTTAGCTTATCAATGCTATCACCATTCTGTTCCTGCCTATCGGTCAGATCTCACAAAACACTATGAACCACCACGACAACTTCGATCTGTAGATCTGCGTCTCCTCTGTGTGCCAAAACCAAAGCTTAGACTTTTACAACACAGCCTAAGCTTGCCCCCAATTACAAACTTTGTAAATACCAGTGGAGTTTTGTTAGCGTTATGAGCATTCACCTGCATTATAAATGCTCTTTTTATTATTATTATGATAATTACATCTGCATCGCTCATGCTTTTCCTCACACTCTCTGATTTAAATTAGATACTTTTCAAAGTGGTTTAACCATATCCACTCTGTTGTTATTGATGTACCTTGTTGTGGCAAGTGCATTAAATCAAAATCAGGTTCAAAATGGAAAGTTGTTTTGAAAATCTTGTTATTTAACAGCCTTAGACCTGAATGTTATAACGTGTATATATATATATGCTAGGTTTAATGGATGGTTGTAGTTGGAATCGCAAAACTGAATCACAAGGTTGACATCCTTTCCACATGCACAACTAAGTATAACTTGTAATCATGATAATAATAATGATAATAGTCAATGTTTATTCTGATAAGAGGAAATGTTTGAGTTCTTTACAATATTTATCTGTCAAACAGATAAATTGCAATATGTCTACGGTCATCTGTACTGTGAAGAAAATTAAGTATTTTATGTGCTATTAAAATTGTCCTTTCAAATTGTAAAATTCACCTCAATATTTAAAGGCACAATGAGCAGAGGTAGTGTAACCATGGTAGCTGAGCTCAATGTTTAATATGTATATGGTGCCATACTTCTTCAATACAAAGGTTACAAGTGTTGGCTAAATTAGAACCTTCACCTTTGATTTCTAACCACTATTGACATCATGATTATATGGTTGTTGAAATTTCCTCCAATGTCACTTTACCCATTGAATATGTTTGTAAATGCTTGGCCACAAGTGAAGATCCAGGTTAGAATTAGTGGTCAGCAACATGTTTGTCGTAAAGAGGCGACTAATGGGATTGGGTGGTCAGGCTGACTGACTTGGTTGCAAGTCATCGTATCCTAATTGCGTAGATCGATGATCATGCTGTTGATTGTGGATTGTCTGGTCCAGACTCCATTATTTGCAGACCAATGCCATATATCTGGAATATTGCGATCTTAAACAACAAACAAACAAAAATGTAAATGCTTGGCACTTCCTCACTGAAATGAACCGCCTCCGTGGTGTAATGGTTAGAGCGTCCGCCCAGAGAGCGGAAGGTCGCGGGTTCGATCCCCGGCCACGTCATACCAAAAGATGTTAAAATGTGGTACTTGTTGGTCCCTGCCTGGCGCTTCGGCATTAATGGGTACAAGATGGACTGGTCAGCTTGGAGTCAGTATAATGTGTCTGAGTGGGGTATTCATGCTTCACTGCGGCATGGTATCTCAGTGGGCTTGCACTATAAAACCAGCTTAAGTCTGGGCTAGTACTTGGATACTTCCTTCCATATGTTCACAGTATATGAACATTCACATAACAGATGTATTATTGTTTCGTGAGTGGATTCACAGAAAGAGCACAAGGGAGAATCAGTATATTCCATTAACTGTAATTTGCATTTAGTTATTAAAATATTATGAGTAATCTTAAAATGAAACCACCTTTGCTGTATGCTCTGTGTGCATCTGTTTGCCATTAAATAAATATTAGTCCACTCTTCTTTGTTGTAATGTAGTTTCAGAATATCCTCCCATTTTATTTGGCCGGTATGGCTGACTTGACGTTGTGGCACAAGGGTATTATAGAAGGCTTTACTACTTTGTTTTTTTCCACAAATACAGGATATGTTAATAATAAGAGGTAATATTGGGCTTGAAACTCAGAACAGGTCTTTCCTATATCACTTATATGTTTAGTTCTGCAGTAAGCCAACAACGCACATTACATACCTTCAAGATGCAGAAAGTTTACCTTCGGTATTCCATATTTTTTTTCTATATCAGCTTTTTGTAAGAAGTTTCCATTAAGACCTAAGATATCGTTAATGAAATGTATTCCCCTTTTTGCCATATATTCGTAATAAACAAATTTTCCCTCTATTTGTATTTTATTGTTGAACCATAGAGATTGGCAGAGAATATCGGAGTTCTTCTACCTCTGAATAACTTTTCTTAAGGTAATGGCACCATGCCAATAATATATCTTTCCAAAATGGGTTTGTAACATTCAGCATGATATGGTTACGTACATAATCTGTATCAGCATAACATAGTTTAATCCTATCAGGTATGCATTTATTGGTGATAGAAATACAGTTTAAATTTTCAATGATAAGCCTTTTGATCCACATTAATTTTTGTGCATTTATGGTATTTTTTATAATAGGTACACTAATGCCTCCATCCTTGGGTTTTTGAGACATGATTTCTCGCTTTACCTTATCCTTATTGTCCTTGCCACACAAAAGTGAAACTATTTTTTTGAAAATTTTGTATTATATGGTCAGGTGGGCTAGGAATTGATGAAAATAGATGGTTTAGTTTTGGTAATAGCAATGATTTCAAGATGACGTGTGGCGTCATGTATCTCAAGGACCAAAGATTCATTTCTTTATAGATTTTTCCATCCAAGGTTACTGTAGTATCATCAGCAAATTGGGCAAGAAGACTTTGAATATTCCCTATCTTTATTCCCTTGGTTGTTTTGATTTTTTCTGATTAATAAGGCTGACACTTCAGCACAAAGAATAAAAACATAAGGTGATATTGGGTCTCCCTGGCGACAGCCCCTGGTTATCTTAAAAAAGTCACTTGCAAAAACATTTACTATTGCGCTAGATTCAATATCATATGTACACAAAAAATATGTACCCATTTTTGTAAGCTTGGTCCAAATTTAAAAACTTAAAAACATTTTGCATAAATTTTCTGTCAACTGAGTTGAAAGCCTTTTCGAAATCACCGAGTAGTGATAAACCTGGAATTCGGTATGATTCTGTATGGTCCATGATGTCATATATTTGTCTAGTGACTTCCCCTATATACCTTCCAGGAGTGAAACCTTCTTGATCCTCATTTAATAATATTCTGGGGTATTGCCTTTATCCTATTTGCAATCACAGCTGATGCTAATTTAAATGACGTATTTAGTAGTTATATAGGTCTCCTTGCTCGGCATTAATGGGTACAACAAGGACTGGTTGGCTCGGAGTCAGTATAATGTGTCTGAGTGGAATGTTCATGCTTCACTGCGGCATGGTATCTCAGTGGGCTAGCACTATAAAACCAGCTTCAGTCTGGGCTAGTACAAGCAGCCGCACATACACATGCATGTACATCATCATATGAGTGAAATAATCTTAAACGTTAGACGTTAAACCCCACCTCACCTCACCTCACCTCACCTCACCTCACCTCACCTCACCTCACCTCACCTCACCTCACTGAAATGAAATGAAATGAAGTTATTAGTTCAAATTATTGTTTCTCTATAATGTAATAAAAAGAAATTAGATTTTCACACCCCTTTAGTCATGGTAACCAAATCTAAAAAGAGTCATGTCGAAGATGCTCTTAAAAATGGTGTTTTCTTCTATTTCCCATCAGGCCAGACCAATTCTTTTTCTTATTTTACGGATCCACCGGTTGTATTTTTTCAATAATAAGAAAAAAAAAAATAATAATTTTCCCCGCTCAAAAAATGAAGTCCTTCTGTTTTTATTGACCAAAAATGTAAACTTACACAAAAATGTTTGTTTTGATTGTTCTTTGCCCCGTATACACTTCATAAATTTCCAAAAATAAAATACGTTTAGTATTCAAAAGGAATATTACTTTGAATGGTGATTTTTATTTTTTATTTTTTTCCCTCCTGCCTTTAGGTTTTCTGAGGACAAAAAAACGTAAAATAAGAAATGAAATTGGTCTGGCCTCAACATGATAGAAAAATGAGGATTGCAGGTTATAAGTTCAAGTTATAGTTTTTCTATAATGTAATCCAAAACAATTTGCACTAGTGGCGTACCTACTTAGGTTGTCAGTCAAGACATGATGAGGTCATTTTGCAATGATGTCATTTTGGATGACCCTCCTAATTATGCTGAAAGGCCAGTGTTCGTGGAAGGAAAAAAAGCTTTGTGTTCCTAAAACTCACAACCCCAAGAATCTTGTGTGTGCATACTCAGCAGGGGTATGCCCGAGTCAGTAAACAGCGAGGTCTCTAGGGGTGTGTGTGATCCCCTATAAAAAATTTGAAATTTAGACATCATTTCCTTCCATTTTAGAGCATGTTGTCATCATTCGCAAGTCAAATTAGCTGAGAGAAACTTTATTTTATTTTGTGGTTTCCTTGGGGGAAATATGTTTTTCGGTTACTTGTTCCCAGAACACAGAATGCTTTGTGTGCAGAACACGCAGGTAGAAAATATCATGCATGAAATGTAGATTTATTTGCGTGAAACACACAGGTTTTTGCTTGAAAGTGTGGACTTTGACTGCATGTGATTCACGGTATCAAGCAGTAAATCTGAAAGATCATGTGAAGTGGCATCTCAAAACAATTAATTAAGAGAATTTGGCCTGTATCATAAACTGGAAATGTATATGTGTATAAATGATTGCTTGTTTCTACATTTGGGCTTATAGCTGTGTTTTGTATTGTAAGTAATATTGTCATAGCCCATGTTTTGAATTGTATATATTATTGTTATAACCTGAATTATGAATTGTCATAAATATTGTAATGTTAAAATGTGTATTTGAAGACTTTGCTTTGGGATGTGACTTTGTGTTTATAATGGACATGGGTGCATGTGTGAACTTCTCTCATCACCCTGTGGTTGAAATAATGCTGATGCAATGTTAAAATTTCAACTCACTCTAGAGGTGTTAATATAATTGATGGAGTGACTGTAGTTTTACATCGCTTTTAGCAAAATTCCAGCAATATCACAGCGGGGGACACCAGAAATGGGCTTCACACATTGTACCCATGTGGGCAATCAAACCCGGGTGTTCGGTGTGACGAGTGAACGCTTTAACCACTGGGCTACCCCACCGCCCCTGTAAAATATGAACAATAATGGGATGAGGCTGACAGCTTTGGTACAACTAAAAAAAACCCCAAACATAAATAATCAAGGGTCAAGGGCATTACGTTAGGCTCTGTCATGAAACTGGAACCAATATTTTCTTCTTTTATCGAATAGTATACACTTGTTCTGTTCTGTGCAGGTTTCCAAACTTGTTTGACCATTTCGACAGAGGAGCCAACAAGTGCTGGCAAGAAGTGTACAAGGGTCGAGTGCAATATGGACGAAGATCGAGAAGCATCGTCTCGGGGCTGTCGTCCGAGTACTACAACACTCAGGAGATATCAAAGGAAGGCTTCGCTCAGTTTCTCTTACTCCTCGAGGAACATGAGGAGGCGGGAAACTACATCATGGACGAACTCATGAACATAGTGCATGATGGGAAGAAGTGAGTTCAAGTTTTTGTCATAATTTTTCCAAAACGCAATTGTTGGTTTAGTTATGAATTACAGTGTCAAGTGGACAGTTATTTATTGTACTGGTCATAACTTGTGCTCAGATAGATTTGTGGGAAGGCTTGAAACCTTGGTTGATTGCGTTGATTTTCAAGCTGGAATATTGCTGAGTGTAATAATCAGCAACAAATGAATTAATCTAGAAATACGAGAGTTAGATGGGTAGGCTTCAAATGTTAGGTGAGTGAGTATGGTTTTTCCCCGCTTTTTGCAATATTCCAGTAATATCACAGCAGGGACACCAGAAATGGGGCTCACACATTGTACCATGTGGGGAATCGAACCCGGGTCTTTGGCATCACCAGTGAACGCTTTAACCACTAGGCTACCCCTCTGGCCCTAAAATGTTGGGCATGTCACCTTATATTATTTGGAAAATGGGAACACTATTTCTTGTCTTTAGAAAGTGTGAGTACATTCAATCTAACAATGTATAACTGTCCTCTAGGCACATCAAATGTTTTACACTTAAATGTCTTTATTCATATGTCTCATGAGCTCAACATTCCATTAATACCGAGTTTGGGGCAGAATAACAAAAGTGCCATCTTTTCATATAGTGAAAAGGGATCCAACCTGTGATTAGATCAAAGCTGTTAGATTATCTATGCACAGTACAATATTGTTGAGAATTTCACTCTGATGTTTGCAAAGACCAAATTTTTGGTATTTCTGTTTGACAGGAGCCACAACCTGACAGAAAAATACTATGCAGAGAAGGTCCTGAGATATTTAAGTCAGATCCATTTGGCAAAAAAATGGCAGCAATACCTCCAGTTACCGGAGGCCGAACAGAACCTGGAGCTGGGTAGGTACTTCAGGGGTAGATGTTCCTTGTATAACAGACGTGAAGATCTGGGTTAGAATTGATCTTCAGTAACCCATGCTTGTTGTAAGCGGCGTATATCGATGCTCATGCTGTTGATCACTGGATAGTCTGGTCCAGACTCGATTATTTACAGACAGACGCCATATAGCTGTAATATTGCTGAGTGCAGCATAAAATTCAACTCACTCACTCAATTACCTTGTATAACAGTGCCTTATGCAGTTAGAATAGCACATAGTTTATTAGACTAATGCTTAGTCTCTGAATATATATAATTTTGATAGTAACAAAGAAGCCCATTTAAATTGAAAAGGAGCCCAAGGCAGACCCGAGATTCTGAACCTGAGGAAATCTAGACTTGCTTTATTTAGGGCTTTAGCACTGCAGAGAGGGCTTGGAAGTAGGGAAAATAATGTGGTTCATGGACTGTGAGACAGACTACACTGCAGAGAGGGCTTGGCAGTAGGGAAAATAATGTGGTTCATGGACTGTGAGACAGACTAATAGTTTATACACAACTGGTGTTTGATAGTCACAGAAATATATAAATACATACCTTGTGATGATGTATATTATACAGAGCTACTTTTAAATGTTCTTTTGCAAATGTAAACTGTCCACAAACTGAAAAGGACATCTGTAATGTGGAGTATGATTCATATGTTAAAGATAGGAGGTTCTGAAACTGGATAGAATGTTATAAAGCTGAAAGAAAATGATGGAGGTAAACTTTCTTGATAACAGCTTATTATCCTGCACTCAGGTGGATCAAAAGTATTTCTATTGACACACTCAAATTGCAGAGGTAACAGCAAAAACGTCTTGTAGGAGCACTCACTCACTCACTCACAGTTCTATCTCAGTACCTACTGGGCATGGATAGGGTTATACTGATCTTTATAATTTCTGTAAAATGTGACGATCTGAGGACACCCTCATAACAGGTCATGTTGTGAACTGTCTCTTGGGCCAATCAGTATCACATTTTCAGTATGGGTGCGCGTTTAGTCAGATGGGATGGCTCTCTGAATACACAATATTCCGATCATGCACCCATTCAGTCAGTGGTGCCATCCGACAATCAGTATTACCCAGAACTCCATCAATGTCTCTCACTGTCTGTCCTTCAGGTGCTGTGATGATAGCTCAATGGTGCCATCCGGCAATCAGTATTACCCAGAACTCCATCAATGTATCTCACTGTCTGTCCTTCAGGTGCTGTGATGATAGCTCAATGGTGCCATCCGGCAATCAGTATTACCCAGAACTCCATCAATGTCTCTCACTGTCTGTCCTTCAGGTGCTGTGATGATAGCTCAATGGTGCCATCCGGCAATCAGTATTACCCAGAACTCCATCAATGTCTCTCACTGTCTGTCCTTCAGGTGCTGTGATGATAGCTCAATGGTGCCATCAGGAAATCAGTATTACCCAGAACTCCATCAATGTCTCTCACTGTCTGTCCTTCAGGTGCTGTGATGATAGCTCAATGGTGCTATCCAACAATCAGTATTACCCAGAACTCCATCAATGTCTCTCACTGTCTGTCCTTCAGGTGCTGTGATGATAGCTCAATGGTGCTATCCAACAATCAGTATTACCCAGAACTCCATCAGTGTCTCTCACTGTCTGTCCTTCAGGTGCTGTGATGATAGCTCAGTGGTGCCATCCGGCAGTCAGTATTACCCAGAACTCCATCAATGTCTCTCACTGTCGGGGCGGTGGGGTAGCCTAGTGGTTAAAGCGTTGGCTCGTCACGCCGAAGACCCGGGTTCAATTCCCCACATGGGCACAATGTGTTAAGCCCATTTCTGGTGTCCCCCGCCGTGATATTGCTGGAATATTGCTAAAAGCGGCATAAAACTAAACTCAGTCAGTCAGTCAGTCTCTCACTGTCTGTCCTTCAGGTGCTGTGATGATAGCTCAATGGTGCTATCCAACAATCAGTATTACCCAGAACTCCATCAATGTCTCTCACTGTCTGTCCTTCAGGTGCTGTGATGATAGCTCAATGGTGCTATCCGGCAATCAGTATTACCCAGAACTCCATCAATGTCTCTCACTGTCTGTCCTTCAGGTGCTGTGATGATAGCTCAATGGTGCTATCCGGCAATCAGTATTACCCAGAACTCCATCAATGTCTCTCACTGTCTGTCTCTCACTGTTTGTCCTTCAGGTGCTGTGATGATAGCTCAATGGTGCTATCCAACAATCAGTATTACCCAGAACTCCATCAATGTCTCTCACTGTTTGTCCTTCAGGTGCTGTGATGATAGCTCAATGGTGCTATCCAACAATCAGTATTACCCAGAACTCCATCAATGTCTCTCACTGTCTGTCCTTCAGGTGCTGTGATGATAGCTCAATGGTGCTATCCAACAATCAGTATTACCCAGAACTCCATCAATGACCAGTTGGATGAGATCGCAGGGATGGTGAGACGGGAACTGAGTCGGCGGGCGCCAGACCACCCAGCATGCAATATGGAGGATAACGCACTGGGGGTGAGCAAACATTTATTCAAGCACTCATCATCTGTCTGTAATGTTTGTACAATTTGAAAGACACAATTTGGTCTTGTAAATCACCTGATAGGTGAAACCTATTGGGATCCCAGATAAATGTAGGTCTTCTACATTCTTTTCTTGTCATACGCCTGGAATTTTGGTTGTCCAGCATGTTGGTCAGCATGTCATTGTGCCAAGAAGATACGTTTGGTCCAAATGTATTCAAATTCAATGCTTTGGTTGGTTGGTTTGTTGGTTTATTGTTTAAGGCCGCACTCGGCAATATTCCAGCTATATGGCGGCGGTCTGTAAATAATCAAGACTGGACCAGACAATCTAGTGATCAACAGCATGAGCATCAATCTATGCAGTTAGGATACGATGATATGCCAGCCAAGTCAGCGAGCCTGACCACCTGATCCCGTTAGTCACCTCTTACGACAAGCATGGGTTACTGAAGATCAGTATTAACCTGGATCTTCATGGGTTTATTCAATGTATAAAAAACACTGCAAAAAAGAGCTGCAAAACTACTATGATGTTACTTATCTTCAAGTAGATTTTATAGATGTGGCTCTGCAGTATTCACAAAATATGTTCAGCAGCTACTACATGGTATCCCTATTGTGATCCACTGATTAGCATGTCCGCCTGTCTGCTGTCATCCATCTGGTTTTTTTTATTCTGGAGCAGATCTAAAGAAAACATTCAATAGTTCTCAATGAAAATTTTAATACCGATCAATTAGAAAGTGAACTCGTACCACCAGTTTTTATAAGTACTAACAGACATTATATTTTCATTCTCTTAATTGGAGGTATCCAAAGGCAATAAGCCAAAAGTAGGGTGTAATAGCCAAACTCAGTTTCTGACTTGAACCAGATCAAGGGGGAATATGGCATCTCCTGAGGAGTCTTGTAAGTAATTTGTATACATACTTGATTTAGGGGCGGTGGGGTAGCCTAGTGGTTAAAGCGGTCGCTCGTCACGCTGAAGACCAGGGTTCTATTACCAGCCGCTTCATGGGTACAATGTGTGAAGCCCATTTCCGGTGTCCCCTGCCATGATGTTGCTGGAATATTGTTGAAAGCGGCGTAGAACCAAACTCACTCACATACTCACTCTTGATGTATTTTGTTTTCAGCGATTTCAGAGCATCTGTGGTCTCCTCAGCAATGCCGAGTTATCATGGAGACATTAAACTATATATTGTTTGACAAACTTGGATTCTGTGGCAATGAAGAGAATTACTACGACCCCAAGAACTCCTACATCAATAGAGTAAGAAAGTGGATATTTATGGGCAGAATAGTCTTCTACTGAAGTTGCTGAATAAGATTCTGGCTACAGATTGCTGGGTTGAAACCTTTGGTTGATACTGGTTGTAACCATGAACATAGGGTTGAAAAACCTTGGGCTAATGATTTAGGACAGGTGATCACCATAGTTGACTAAGTGGGATAATCAGTCACCAATGGCAAGTATGGTAGGCTTGCTTGTAACCATGGACAGTTTAGATGGGCTGAGGTGGTTACCACAGGCAATTTCTGTAAAATGATTGGTCAACATAGGCAAGTAATGCAGAAAGTTTGGTCACTATAGTCAACTTAGGAAGGAATGTTGGCCACTATTGGCAACTAAGGTAGGAAGGTTGGTCACTATTGGCAACTAAAGTAAGAATGTTGGTCACTATAGGCAACTAAGGTAAGAATGTTGGTCATTATAGGCAACTAAGGTAAGAATGTTGGTCACTATAGGCAACTTAGATAAGAATGTTGGCCACTATTGGCAACTATTGGCAACTAAAGTAAGCATGTTGGTCACTATAGGCAACTAAGGTAGGAATGTTGGTCAATATAGGCAACTTAGATAAGAATGTTGGTCACTATAGGCAACTTAGATAAGAATGTTGGTCACTATTGGCAATTAAGATAAGAATGTTGGTCACTATAGGCAACTTAGATAAGAATGTTGGTCACTATAGGCAACTTAGATAAGAATGTTGGTCACTACAGGCAACTTAGATAAGAATGTTGGTCACTATAGGCAACTTAGATAAGAATGTTGGTCACTATAGGCAACTTTGATAAGAATGTTGGTCACTATAGGCAACTTAGATAAGAATGTTGGTCACTACAGGCAACTTAGATAAGAATGTTGGTCACTATAGGCAACTTAGATAAGAATGTTGGTCACTATAGGCAACTTAGATAAGAATGTTGGTCACTACAGGCAACTTAGATAAGAATGTTGGTCACTATAGGCAACTTAGATAAGACTGTTGGTCACTATAGTCAACTTAGGAAGGAATGTTGGCCACTATTGGCAACTAAGGTAGGAAGGTTGGTCACTATTGGCAACTAAAGTAAGAATGTTGGTCACTATAGGCAACTAAGGTAAGAATGTTGGTCATTATAGGCAACTAAGGTAAGAATGTTGGTCACTATAGGCAACTTAGATAAGAATGTTGGCCACTATTGGCAACTATTGGCAACTAAAGTAAGCATGTTGGTCACTATAGGCAACTAAGGTAGGAATGTTGGTCACTATAGGCAACTTAGATAAGAATGTTGGTCACTATAGGCAACTTAGATAAGAATGTTGGTCACTATTGGCAATTAAGATAGGAATGTTGGTCACTATAGGCAACTTAGATAAGAATGTTGGTCACTATAGGCAACTTAGATAAGAATGTTGGTCACTACAGGCAACTTAGATAAGAATGTTGGTCACTATAGGCAACTTAGATAAGAATGTTGGTCACTATAGGCAACTTAGATAAGAATGTTGGTCACTATAGGCAACTTAGATAAGAATGTTGGTCACTACAGGCAACTTAGATAAGAATGTTGGTCACTATAGGCAACTTAGATAAGAATGTTGGTCACTACAGGCAACTTAGATAAGAATGTTGGTCACTATAGGCAACTTAGATAAGAATGTTGGTCACTACAGGCAACTTAGATAAGAATGTTGGTCACTATAGGCAACTTAGATAAGAATGTTGGTCACTATAGGCAACTTAGATAAGAATGTTGGTCACTACAGGCAACTTAGATAAGAATGTTGGTCACTATAGGCAACTTAGATAAGAATGTTGGTCATTATAGGCAACTAAGGTAAGAATGTTGGTCACTATAGGCAACTTAGATAAGAATGTTGGCCACTATTGGCAACTAAAGTAAGAATGTTGGTCACTATAGGCAACTAAGGTAAGAATGTTGGTCATTATAGGCAACTAAGGTAAGAATGTTGGTCACTATAGGCAACTTAGATAAGAATGTAGGCCACTATTGGCAACTATTGGCAACTAAAGTAAGCATGTTGGTCACTATAGGCAACTAAGGTAGGAATGTTGGTCACTATAGGCAACTTAGATAAGAATGTTGGTCACTATAGGCAACTTAGATAAGAATGTTGGTCACTATTGGCAATTAAGATAGGAATGTTGGTCACTATAGGCAACTTAGATAAGAATGTTGGTCACTATAGGCAACTTAGATAAGGTGGGAATATTGGTCACTATTGGCAACTAAGGTAAGAATGTTAGTTACCATTGGCAACTAAGGTAAGAATGTTAGTTACTATTGGCAACTAAGGTAAGAATGTTAGTTACTATTGGCAACTAAGGTAAGAATGTTGGTCACTATTGGCAACTAAGGTAAGAATGTTAGTTACTATTGGCAACTAAGGTTAGAATGTCGGTCACTATTGGCAACTAAGGTAAAAATGTTGGTCACTATTGGCAACTAAAGTAGGAATGTTGGTCACTATTGGCAACTAAGGGAAAAATGTTGGTCACTATTGGTAACTAAGGTAGGAGAATGATCGTAATAGGCAACTAAGGAAGGATCACCATCGGCAGCTAAGGTCGGAGAGTGGTGTCTGTGTGATAGATCAGGATAGGCAACTTAAGATGGTATGGTTAAGTACAGTTGAAACGATAGTACATACAGTTTGAATATAAATGTAGCCCAGCTGGCCACTGCCTGTCACTTACTGTTTCACTTGTCTGATAATGTGTTATATCTTTAGATCATTGTTAAAACACAGTAGTACTTGTAGTTACAATTTTCAGGTTCTGGAGAGGAAGAAAGGGATCCCTATCACGCTGTCCATCGTCTACAGAGCTGTGGCTCGGAGGCTGGGGGTCGTGTGTGAAGCCATCAACTTCCCGTCCCACTTTCTTCTGCGGTGGCTAGTTAGGCCCATGTGAGTCAGTATGGATGACGAAACGGTCTTTAAGCAAGGGAGTCATGGTAACACAGTTGCCTAAGGCACCATAATTGGTTGTTGAAGCATGCAAGTGTATTGATGACAACTTGTTTATTGCATAGAGCAACATTTGAGCGTCCACCCAGAGACCGGAAGGTCGCGGGTTCCATCCCCAGCCGCTTCATACCAAAAGATGTTAAAATATGGTACTTGTTGGTCCCTGCCTGGCGCTCGGCGTTAATGGGTACAACAAGGGCTGATTGGCTCGGAGTCAGTATAATGTGTCTGAGTGGGGTATTCATGCTTAACTGCGGCATGCTAACACTATAAAACCAGCTTAAGTCTGGGCTAGTACAAGCAGCCACACATACACATGCATGCATGCCGTCATATGAGCGAAATATTCTGAAGTACGACGTTAATCCCCATTTCACCTAACCTCACTTGAGTAGCTTAATAACAGTGGTAGCAATGGGGTAGTCTAGTGGTTAAGCATATGCTTGTCACATTGCAGACCCAGGTTGAATTCCCTACATGGGTACGGTGTGTGAAGCCTTATCCTAGAATCAGTCGTGATACTGCTAGAATATTGTTAAAAGCAGCTTTGACTTATACTCACTCTCTCCTCTTTTCATCGCATTGAGCGATATTTTAGCAACTGTACGAGAACTGAACTGTTTCTGTGTGTTGTTTCAGAGCCCCTGTCAGTCAGCAGTATGTGTTTGTGGATGTGTTCCGTGCAGGTCGCTTCATGCAGCAGGATGAATGTTGTAGTGCAGTCGGTATTCCCGAGGGTCTCGCCTTCCAGAAGGAACACTACATGTCTGTTCCACCCAAGAAGGCAAGTACTAGCCAGCAGGAAGACTGTCTGGCTGTGTTAGTGTCAGCTCATACCCTCCAATTGGGGACTGATGCTGATTATGATTAGCTTGTGAAGATATTCATCATTATAGAATAGTGGAATGTGACAATATCCAAATACCCTGCTAGTTAGACCTAGTTACTATGGTAACACTGATTTCCGGTTGTAGGTTTTGGAGCGAATGGCCAGGAACTTGGTCGGTATCGGCCGCCATCAGAGTCAGCTTGGTGACGGACTGCTGTGTTTACGCAATGCCCTAGATCTCTTCCTTATCATCAGTCCTGACGACCTTGAAATGAGGCTGCTTCAAGTCCGCATCAACCTCCATCTCAACATCAACTTGCCCGATGTGAGTATCAGTGCTATGGACACAGGCCAACATTCTAAATTAACGTCAGTCCTTAGGCCCGAAGCCGACTGAAAACCCACAGCTTTTGTTTTCTGCAGACAGCTTTTTCATCCCCAATAACTAACAGTATTATGTCCATATTAAAACACAGGGCCTACACATTCTGATCAGGACTCAAAACTTTTTATAGTTCTGGGTCCTTACATCCTCGATAATCTCCAGGCTATATGTTACGATCACTCTCCACTATACCCTGGATGCATCCACAGCTTGGCCCGATGATTTTATTACCTCCCTTGGCTGGCTTTTTATCCAATCAGGTGTCTACGCTCGGAAGTTGAGCGAACCAATCACAACTAACTTTCGCTTCCTAAAAAACTTGGCAACACAATTGATGCAGAGGTACTCTGAAAGAGGTAGAAGGAGTTCTTTTATATATTTTTTGAAAGTTTCAGATCTGTCAATTTGTCTGTATTATTTCCTAAAAAATCTGAGTGGCACTGCGTACAAACCTTCGCGACTGCGACCGCTATCTTTGTTGACACTGGCAAGCTCGGATGTAATGACGGCTTAGCTTATTGGCTACTGTGAGAATGCATAGCCAGCAAAGGGAGGTAATATAATTATCGGGCCAAGCCGTGGATGCATCCATAGTATAGTGGAGAGTGATCATAACGTATACCCTGGAGATTATCGAGGATGGGGCCTTAGGGCCTTAGGGCCTTAGGGCCTTCAACTTTTCAGGGTTAAGGGCAAACACTGCCACAGTCTGGACACTGAAATAAGTTAGGGTGAAAACTCTTCAAGAACAGCGAGATGCAACTCCTATATAATAAACTTAATAAGGGGCATTGGGGTAGCTGAGTAGTTAAAGCATTCATTTTTTATGCTAGAAGACCATGAAGATCCGGGTTAGACTTGGTCTTCAGCATCCCATGCTTGTTGCAAAATGGGATCGGATGGTCTGGCTCGCTGACTTGGTTGACACATGTCATTATATCAGGGCTCCAGATAATTTTTGAACACCAGGAGAACGTACTCCTTATTTTTTCAATATAGGAGTACTTGAAAACCTTAACCTACATTTAGAGTACTGAATGGAATTTAATGGAGTATCAGTAATCTTGTTTCGTTTCATATATGCACCACAAAATTGCTAGTCTTGTGTAAACAGGTCAATATACAATAAAACAATACTTTTTTCAGATAAATATGTCTGTAAATGATTCTAAGACCGTACACCTTTGCCGTGGTGCGTATCTGCTATGTTTTATAAATTATTTCCTACCGTATCGTGCAAATGTTTTATCTGTACATACGCTGATACAGCCCTTATCTGGAGCCCTGTTATATCCCATTTGTGCAGATCAATGCTCATGATGTTGGTCACTTGATTGTCTGGTCCAGACCCTAATATTTACATATCGCTGCCCTATAGCTGGAACATTGCTGACTGTGGTGTTAAACAAACACAAACATCATATGGAGTCACACTCCTTTAAAGTTGCCCTATGGCTGAAGGAAAGCTGGTACAACGTTAAATACGAACTAATGCAATCTCTCGCACTTATTTCAGGGTTTCCAACAAATCACACAATGGAATGATACAAAAGTTAAAATGGACAATGAGCACAGCTGACAATTGTATCACTGTTTGTTTCATTTTATACTGTTTAATTCCTCGACTTTTCTGACAGGTGATCGACAGTTTGCAGCATGTGGCTGACCTTGACCCTACACGTATGGGGCTGGTGGCGTACCTGCTACAGGAGGCACAGGTTCACATACAGGAAAACAAGGACACAGAAAAGAAGGAAAAGGTAACTTTCCCCAAACTGCACAGGGGGTTTCACCAGACTCAAACCTGTGAAGATCCAGGTTAGAATTGGTCTTCAGTAACCCATGCTTGTCATAAGAGGCGACTAACAGTAACAGGGTCGGATGACACATGTCATCGGTTCCCAAGTGCGTACAGTAAAATACCTTTATAACGAATTCCAAGGGACTACTTAAATTAGTTCTTTATATCCGTAGTTCGCTATTCACTTTTTTATATGATAATATAAGGTTTATTCGGGACTTTTAAAACAGTTCGCTATAGCCGTCAGTTCGTTATATCCGTGTTTGTTCTAAAAGTATTCTACTGTATATCGATGCTGTTGATGTTGATCACTGGATAGTCTGGTCCAGACTCAATTATATACAGACCACTGCCATAGAGCTGGAATATTGCTGAGTACAGCATTAAATAATATACCAACCAACCAACCAGACTCATGCAGGGGAGACAACCCTCTCTTCTCTGTGTGTTCCAAATGTGGTACAGTTTCTGGACCCACTTTCACCAAGATCGTACTAAGACAAAGAGACAATGTTCAATGTATGTTACCATTGTTAACATATGCTAAACTCCAGTTTGGTGTTTAAAACATGGATGCATTTTCTGCTCAACCTCATCTTGTCTTCATCTGATTATAAACTCACATTCTGGAGTTTTCCTCAATGATTTGATGGTTTCAGCTCAAATTTGGCCATATGGGGTTCAAGTTTGTTAAAACGTTGCACGCAGGAAAGTTGTTATCCATAAAGTTTGATCTATATTGTACGTTGAAGGCATCTGGTGTGTTTTCTTTAACTTGGAAAGTACCTTTAAAGGCCAGAGGTCTAAAACAGGCATAGATGGTCACCTCGGGAGGAATGGATTTTTGTTCAGAGCATTTTGATCACAAATATTGAAACATACAAAAAATTGTTCACAGGTTTCCAATCCAATTATCAAAATGGCCATGGTTGCAGGCATATTTGTTTGTTTGTTTAGTGCAAGGTTGATATATGTGCAATCAAAAATATGAATTTTTAAACTTATCCTATCTCACGTATTGTACTCTCTCTCTCTTATGTCGACCATGAAGTGGAAACACGCTGTTTAAGCAAAGTTGAACAAAGTTTCTGGCCTTCCTGAGTCCTTTGCCCAAACACTCCCCACCGCTACCGATCTCGGACGGTTCAGTGGTTTGCAAAAAGCATGCAGCACAGCACAACTTCTGGTTGACTGTGTGATTTCCCTGTCTTGTCATTCTCGTTTTGGAGCAGCGTAATAGTAGAAATCTGCGAAGTAGGGATGGTCAGGCGGGTATCCATCGTATAAGATGGGATAAGTATAGTAAATATACAATAAATTTTCAATTTAATACATTTAATTTCGAAACATTATTTTAACTAATCATTAACATTCCTACGAAATGTATATACGACTTTGTGGACGTCTCCTTTGAAAAGAAATTTACTCCTCAGTGTTAATTCAGAAAATGATTGAATATCAAAGCTCTGGTGAAACCTCTCATTGAAGGTCCTTAGCTTTTCAGAAAGTGAAGTGAGTTTTCTAAGAATTAAGCACATTTTCCGGCCCTGACAACGTCCTAGATATGTTCCATCATCAAGTATTTCAAACTCTATTACAGCGGTTCCAAAATCGTTTGTGTTCGATTATGAGAAAATGTGATCAATTTCTTGGTCATTTGGCCACTGCGACCAATCTTCGATTATTTCAATTAATTGGACCACTACTAGTGCGCATGCACGCACACACTTTTTGTCCTGTAAGTTTATTAAGTGACCCCTGAAACTCACGTGAAAATGGGTGAAAATGAACTGTGCATCCTCCTTTCTCAGAAAGCTGTATCCTCCGCCCCTGAGTGCCATCATAGATCAATGATCACTTGATTGACTGGTCGAGACTTGATTATTTACAGACCAAAGGCATATAGCTGGAATACTGCTTAGTGCGGCGTTAAACGACAAACAAACAATAAACAAACTTAAATATTGCTTTAATCATTATCAGTCATCAGCCTTTGTCTAGAGTTTCGGCGATGTTGCTGTTGCAGCCCAAGAGGAAGTTGCGGAAGGACAACAAGAAGGTGGAGTTCTCTGTTGGCATGGTGATGAAGCACAAGAGGTGAGACCCACACACCATGGGGGGATGATATACCGTATATTACCATAGATAAGCCGAATTTTGAAGCCCAAAATTGAAGCCTGAAGAAGAGTAGACGCAATATGATTGTGATTGCTGTGAATAATGCGGACCGAAGTATAAATATCGGTAACTGCCAGTTGTCTTGTGGTCTGAGTTGGACGTGATTAGGACCCCCATCGGGGGTCGGCTTATGTATGATATCATCTTAGATTACCCAGACATCTTTGGTACTGCTCTTTCACCACACACTCTCTAAGGCGGTGAGGTAGCCTAGTGGTTAAAGCATTCGCTTGTCATGCCCATGACAAGGGTTTGCTTCCCCGACATGGGGATAATGTGTGAAGCCCATTTCTGATGTCCCCCGCCGTGATATTGCTCGAATATTGCTAAAAGCGGCATAAAACCATACTCACTCACTCATGGCTGACTGCTTCTGACGTAGGAATTGCTTGTCCAGCTTTAATCCATGTACACTCGATGAAAACCAAGCTTGAGTGACTGCTTTCTGTTTAGGTACGACTACACTTGCGTGATTTTTGGCTGGGACGAGACTTGCCAGGCGACCGAGGAATGGATAGTGCAGATGGGTGTTCACAACCTGACGAAGCAACACAAACAGCCGTTCTACAGCGTCCTAGTGGAAGATGGCAGCAACAGATATGCAGCGCAAGGTAAGTCCAACAACAGCATATATTCCAGGTACTGTTACATCATCTTACACCAACAAATACCCACCAACTCTCACACCTTTGACTTGAGACTCATGATTTAATTACTCATGCCACGCTCTCAAGATAAAACTGATCAATCTCAGCCCAACTGGGTTCTTATAAAAAAATGCACATTTTGACCACTTAAAATCACACAAATAGGTCTGAATGCATCTTTTTCAGTGACTTTTCTGAGAAGGGAATTTGCAATTATGCGTTAGCTTCTCGGGGCCTTTGTCCCGGAACCCCCATCCAGGTTCTTCTGTCCTTGGACCCCGGCTTTTTTGTCTCTTGGGGGACCGTGTGGTGAAGTGGTTAGAGCATCCGACCGGAGAGCGGAAGGTCGCAGGTTCAATCCTCGCCCGCATCATACCAAAAGACGTTAAAATATGGTACTTGATGGACGCTGCCTGGCGCTCGGCATTAATGGGTACAACAAGGACTGGTCGGCTCGGAGTCAGTATAATGTGTCTCTGAGTGGGGTAGCTAGCACTATAAAACCAGCTTCAGTCTGGGCTAGTACAAGCAGCCACACATACACATGCATGCACGTAGTCATGTGAGTGAAATATTCTTAAGTATGACGTTAAACCCCATTTCGCCTCACCTCACCTCTCTCTTGGGGTTTGAAGCTCTGTATAAAGTGTTATTTTTTCTTATCCTGACTCATGATTATTTGCTTTCTCATCCTCTCTTCCGAACGGTCAAGTGGAAACTTGAATCCTTTCAATTCCCTTGAAGTGAACGTACAATCACTCACCCTCAATTACCTCCCTTGGTTTCCCGCCAAAACCGGCACGTGAGCTTGTAAGTAAAAGGAAGTCCCCTCCGGCAGAGACGACATCGCAACATAAGAAACACAGGGCGGCCTCTTCAGGGAAGCAGACCTCGTCATCCAGGCATTCAGACCTCGTCATCCAGGCATTCATCTAGATCATCCCACTCTGGTAGATCTTCGAGGTCATCGCTACATACTCCCATGCAGCGTTCGTCAACAGATGTTGGTGTGCCTGGTGCTGAAGCAGATAGTTCCAGCCCTTTAGGTCCTCCAGTGTTGCAGCCTGAGGTCTTCCTTGCAGCGTCGCAGAGAGCTTCCAGTCCTGAGATACTGTCAGCGCAGATCAGAAGTATGACATCGCCGATATCATCGTCACAGTCTACCCCTGGCAGTGATGCTGTGAGATCATCGAATGTGGTACACCTTTCTGTAAGCAGTCTACCGAAGCCGTTGCAGAGCCAGAGACAGCAGAAGTCAGGCGGGAACCCGTTAGCGTTTGCAAACACTACCCCGTCAACGAGGCCGACAGACGAGTCAGTTGCAGTAGTCCCGCAGCTGCATCCGATTACCAACACAGAGGTCCTCAACGCTGAAGACTTTACTGATACCATAACCCGTAGGGTGATCCAGGCGATGGAGATGAGATTAGACCTGACAAGACGCCTGAGATTGATGAAGATTTCTACCTTGTCACAAGGGTTCACGGCCAGAAGAGCGACTAATCCACAAGTAGCAGATTACTTGTGTCATTTGAGATCCACTAGACATCTGAAGGGTTCCACATTGTCTACTTATCTTGCGGCAATCAGCTTGGTCATCACCATGAAGACAGGGGTGAAGTTTACCAAGGTGCCTGAACTTGTAGCCCTGCTGAGATCTTTAAAGTTAGAAGATCAACAACAGAAGTTCAGGGCACCAGCTTGAGACCTCAATATAGTACTACAGCACCTCATAAGTGAGGTATATCAGCTGCTGACACAGACGACATTTGACTTATTAACTCAAAAGACGATATTCCTCCTCGCCTTGGCTACTGCAGCTCGGATGTCAGAGATACACGCCCTTGACTTCAACCGTACGAGATTCGACATGGGAAAAAGGGAAGCAGTTCATCTAGGCCTTAGATGGGACTTTATAGCCAAGAACCAGCTACCGGGACAACCGGATCGTCAATTCTACGTTCCGGCATTATCAACCATCCTGGGTCCACAGGACACTCAAGATCTATCATTATGCCCGGTCAGAGCGCTGAAAATCTACTTGCAGAGATCTGCTACGAGAAGGAGTAAGTTCAAGCATCTATTTATCCCGCTATCACCCGCTACGGCGGTGGAAGTCTCCCGTACTACGGTCTCCTTTTGGATCAGAGTGGTGATCCTAAGAGCCTACACAGCAGCAGGGTTAGAGCCTCCAAGAGCATCTAACCCACATGAAGTAAGAGCGTTGGCCTCGACACTCGCCCTACATGGAAATTGCTCAATATCATCTATAATGGAAGGCTGCTTTTGGAAGTCAGACACTGTCTTTGCTAATCACTACCTGAGAGACATCTCCACGGAAGATGTATCTGGAATACATCAATTCGGCCCTCTAGTCGTAGCGCAGCAACTCACTATGCCGGCCAGATAATGAAGAAACTCACCCTTGTCACGCAGATTCGTTGACGCCAGGCAACTGTCCATTGCCACCGGCTGAGAGTCCATGTTCCCCTGACTTACGAGATAAGTCAGCGCATGAGTGATACATAGACTCAGTTATGGTAATGTCCTTGCCTTAACAGATGGGTCGCGATTCTAGTTTCGGTAATGTTCTTACCGCAAACATATTGGGTCGTTGCAGAATATCTAGATAACAAGGCATCTAGTATACTAAATCCACAAAACCTAGGTTTACTTCTAATATGTATGTATAAGAAGGTGGTCCCCCAGTTAGCATCAAGAAGATATTGAAGTTAGCCGCAGAAGAAGAAAATTCCCAGGGGGTAAATCAAGCGAACGCTGACGTGAATAATCATGCAGGGAATCCCGTAGGTGGCTGACCCACCACCTTTCCGTCGGTTTCAGTAAGCAAATAATCATGAGTCAGGATAAGGAAAAATGTGTAATTTTTATGATAAAATTAATATTTTATACTTATCCTGACTCATGAGATGAAGTCCTCCCAACCGTCCCCTCTCACCACACGGGTTTCCCTGTAGACCTGTGTGGGGCATATATCGGAGAGAGTGAGCACAAAAGCATGGCGATGTCACGTGCCGGTTTTGGCGGGAAACCAAGGGAAGTAATTGAGGGTGTGTACGTTTCGCTTCAAGGGAATTGAAAGGATTCAAGTTTCTACTTGACCGTTCGGAAGAGAGGATGAGAAAGCAAATAATCATGAGTCAGGATAAGTATAAAATATTAATTTTATCATAAAAATTACATGATCATACTATCAACTACTCTTTTTTCTGATATAAGATCAAATACACCCAGGCTGGCATCAAGTTTGAAATACTGATCTATCTGACTCTTTTTCCAGAAAACATGTTGTACACAGACAGTCCTCATGAGATCCAGCATCCGGAAGTTGGTCGGTACTTCCAGGCCTTTACGGGCACGTACTACATCCCCAACCAGGAGAAACACAGCGAGTACCAAGACGATGCCGACGTGACACGCGCCCTCCTCCAGAAATATAACTCCCACAAAAATGTCTGATTAGGCTGGAATCAGTGACTGAAAACACATGGCATTGTAATTCCTTTGTGCCATTTCTGGACGAACTTGTCACAGAAAGTGCACCTGTGATTATCACAGAAAGTGCATCTGTGAGAAGAGATTTGTGTCTGCCTACTGTCATGTGACCGCTCCATATTGGGAACTCACAGTTCTTTACATTGGGTAGGGCCGGTGGGGTAGCCTAGTGATTAAAGCGTTTCGCTCGTCAAGCTGAAGACCCAGGTTTGATTCCCCACATGGGTACAATGTGTGAAGCCCATTTCTGGTGTCCCCCGCCGTGATATTGCTGGAATATTGCTAAAAGCGGCGTAAAACCATACTCACTCACTCAAAACGTAGGATAGGGTGTGTTGTCATCTTGCAGCATGACTATGGAATAGCTAACGGTCGATTTAAAAGATTCCCGCTTTATGGTCAGCTACTCAGTCATTTTTATTCGATTTATACTAATCTCATATCTGTAACAGCTCTAAGAGTATAGCCCCCACCAATAAGTTGTAAGATGCAGCAGACTAGATTGGGTGGTCTGACTTGGTGACTTGGTTCTTTACATATATCATATTCCAGTTGTATGGATCGATGCTCGTGATGTTAATCACTGGTTTGTTTGGTCCAGACTTGATTATGCACTCCTGCCTGAGGATTATTGCTGTGTGAGATGTGAATAACAACAGACTTAGCATTTACATCACATTCATGGGCATTGTTTGTACCCTCTCATGGCAAGTGGGTTTCTATATTCTTATTCAGTTGATACATGTGACTTAAACTGACATTTGTTTCCATCGTTTCCTCTGCTTAGCCCAGGTGGCAGTGCAGAAATGTCAGTGGCTTGTAAATTAAAATGTTCAAAGTTCCTGTGTGTGCACAGGTGGCTCAGTATGTTGAAAGGGATGCTCAGATTGAAGTTTGTGTTCTAAACATCAGTGGTGTTTGTGGCATTCAACCTGTGAAGATCCAGGTTATAATTTGTCGTCAGCAACCCATTGGATATTGGATATTTTTTTTTTAAATTTTAATTTATTATTTTTATAGCGCACTAATGTATGCTCAAGGCGCTGGTAATTTTCCCCCGATCATTGGATGTCAATCTCAACGACACATCTTATTATCAATCTCAACTCCCTGGGGAGTAACCCATGCTTGTTGTAAGAGACCACTAACGGGATCAGGTGATAAGGGTTCGATTCCCCACATGGGTACAATGTGTGAAGCCCATTTCTGGTGTCCCCCGCTGTGATATTGCTGAAATATTGCTAAAAGCGGTGTAAAGCCATACTCACTCTCTCGAGGGTTCATTGTATATGAAGGTTGATAAAACACAGTCAAGTCATTCTATTGATCTCTACGGGTTATGACAGGGAACTTCTGGTACTATTGACATGTCTTTTTAACATGAAGTGACTCTTTTCTTACCCAAAAGATCACTGCAATAAGGGTTGGTATCTCTGAAAACTCCGCGGAGTTGTTGGGTATAAAGAATTCGTTATTTTACAGAGTATGAAATAAGCCAAAAACCCAGCCCGACATCTGGGCTGGTAGCTTCAAAAACTTACCAGCCCAGAAGAGATTTAACCAGTCCTTCTTAAATACTTAATAGACAGTGCCAGTGGACATGCTATCTGAATATTTTTTTCCACCCGTGGCTACCTGAAAAAATAGACTGTCCGGCAAAAATCTAGCCCGTCTCGGGCGGTCGAACGGGCCTTATTTCATACACTGTATTTTACCTTACAGGGGCAGTGGTTAAATTGTTCGCTCGTCACAATGTGTGATGTCCATTTCTGGTGTCCCCTTCCATGATATTACTGGAATGTTGTGAAACCCAAGTTACTCAACTTAGCAGCATCGTTCTCTCAATGATCAGTGTAGTTTGGTTACATGACTAGTTTCAGCATCCTGTAATGTTATTTGGCTCAAGTTGCAGCTATTGCAGTAACGGTCTAAATTTAGACTCAATATTATTCGTTACACTGCTATACTGAGTCTAACAAACCCTACAGTGCATTTGGCTCAAAAGCGGACCGATGAATCAGAGTTGGATTCTGATGATCCCTCTGATGATGACTTTTGAAACATCCCCCGCCAAGCAATTGCGGCCTTCTCCATCCTTTCACGCACACCTGGCTGTTCCTCTCTTTGCACTCCTCCCTTGTAACAAATAGTGAACTGTGTCAATATTTTAATGATAGTTTGTGAAACAACTTTTTTATTTTAGGACATAAATTCTGAAAAAAATACCTCACAGAGTTGGTCTTATGTTTTGATTATGATCAGCGTTTCATTGAGTATTATATGTTTATTAGGTTTCGAGTTAGATTGCAATTCATTGGTCCGCTTTGGAACAAAACAGACTGTAGTAGAAGGTTGCGTCTGCTAACCCTTTGAATTGACCAATCAGAACACAGCTTACCAAATCGTGGAAGTAAACATTAGCACATACCGTTTGAACTTTTACCTCAAAAACGTTTGTACTCGAACAATTTCGAATGCTATTTTATGCACGATCGCTTCTGAGTGATACACATGGAGGAAGCCATTGTTCACAACAGTGAGTAAACAGTCGCTGAAAATGGAGTTTTCGTCAATATTCCAGGATGTCATCTTGCGGAAATATAATCTAATGGTAACCATGTCATCAGAAACCCCTAAGCGAGCGCACTGTCAATATCATCTTGCATCGCAATTTTGTAAGTCCCGTCGAAACCCTAAATAGTAGCACTAGTCTGATTGGCTAAATTCGTTCGGCCGTTTTGCGTTTGATTGGACAGTTGGTCGCTCAAAACTTAGCTGACGTGACCTTCTACTCAGGTTTGTTAGACTCAGTATGGCAGTGTAACAAATATTACTGAACCGTAGTTTACTTGTTGCAGTACATACCGGTAGGCACCAGGGTATTTATCATGATTGAATTGAGACATAATACCCTGCATGACCAAGGATGGGTCATTTTATCAAATGTTACCAAATTAACACCAGACCTTTGAGTTTGGATACAAATATGGAGGACTTGTAAGAACTACTGGTGATGGTGATTGAGGACTCAATGGAATGGTTTTTGTGAAATTATTGTGCAATTCAGAAAATCTGCCACATTGTATATTGTATTTACCTATTGTCTGATTGTTATAATTGTTGGTGTACAGACAATGATTTCTTCGCCACGAAGATGTACATGATTCTCTTTGAGTAGCATGTTTAGAAGTTTGTGAATCAGATACGGAACAAACTTTATGGATGAACAACTTCTTTATTCAGAAGATGCGACGTTTCGATACAGAATCTGTATAATCTGTATAGAAACGTCACATCTTCCGAATAAAGAAGTTGTTCATCCATAGAGTTTGTTCCTTATCTACATGATTGTATCACATTGTATTTGTCCTCGATGTCAAACCTTCATCGGCAGCTAGGTTAGTAGTTTTATAATGAAACCTCTGGATCGAGAACAGGCGAGGCGGTGGAGTGGATCTCCCATGCTTTAAAGAGTTCTGACTGTCATAGCACTATGATCACTAGATAACCACAGGGATTTGCGTGACACGAATTCCTGCGTCTTATATGCATAAAAATTGACAATGGATGCAAGAAAATATATTAGCGCATCCACAGGGACGTAGAAAAAGTCCAAATACTTTTTGTAAATTTTTTTATCAGGTAACAATAAGTTATAACAAAGTCTTCTACTAGCCAGGTTATGGTATCATTTGCAATTTAATTACTGTAAGATACACAATGCATTGTAAACCAATAGTGAGTGCTTTCTGCAATCTGATTGATTAATTACCCTTGTCGAATATTGTTCGACATACTTGAAAATGATGGCCTAATAACCGCACATTAATACGTTTGCACTAATGCCGTCGGTTTTAAACTAAATTTGCCTATGTTGAATTCCAATGAATCCCGGAAATTGAACAAACCAAACTATTTATCTTCTAAATAACAGTAACTGAATTACAACAATATTACAACACAGTATTAATATTAATATTTTAGTGTCTGGGACCCCCATTTTGTAGCCCAGGACCTCTGAAAATTAAGAGTATGAGTCCCAGGTACCCACAAGGTAAATCCCTGTAACCATATGTTATGAATTAAAACTGTGTGTTTCATGGTCAGAGACACCCTCATATGAACCAGGCTGTGGCCTGATTCATTTGTTAAAAGGAGCTCAACACTACATGTTGATGGTATAAACTTACAGATGTACACTCGTCAACACCTATTGCTGGACAGTCAAGAATTGTCTGAAAACAAGGGAGACCACTCTGTCTGGCTCAAACTCTTCTGTTGTAAAGGGAGTATGTGTATTTTGCTGGCAATCTTTTGAGAATGTTTGTTGTTTCTTGTTGACAACTTGTGTTTTTAGTGTGTACATTACGGAGAATACAAACTTTATGACTTCAGGGCTTTGTTAGAGACAGATAACAAGATCAGTGGAGATGTACGAAAGGGGCAGGTGTTTCAGTGATTCCAGTGTCAGATGTTGAAATATTTTCAGTCAGTCAAATTGCACAGACTCTCCCGCTGCTTTTACAGTTTGTTACAAACTTTTATGTCTCCAGGTTTTAAATACATTATCATTTAGATGACCTTCTGGCGGTTATAATGTGTGTTTTATGTACAATGTAAGTACTGCTTAGTCTTGCTTAGTACTGCTTAATATTCCTTAGTTTGGTGTACTACTACTTACAAAGTGTAACCTACATTCGTGGATAACCTTGATTCGTGGATCACGCTAATTATCATGCTATCTCTTAAATTAAGTCTCGTATGACGCCACGAAGCGGTACTTTTAAGGCACACACATTGCCACGCCTCGTTGACAAAAATGTTCCGAACCTCTGCATTACATGTCTAATATGTCCAGCACTGAGATAAATAGATCACTAATGTCAATAATGCCAAATTTTTTATTTTTCCAAAATGTCAAGTAAGAAAGATACCGTTAGCACAAACCTTCACACATCTTAATGTCTGCTTTCCTAGTGTCAACACTTACTGCAATGGGCCGTCGTACATAGTGATAAAAGTAACCAACTACGTCATCCACAAAACAAAGTAACATCACATTTTGTATGCACACGAATGGGTGGAATATTAGGCATTTTCAATTTGCTTAATCAGTGAGTAAAGTAACCAATGAGATTGCAAAATGAAATCGTGCATTTAAAATATGATTTTGGCCACACTTCCCTTATATCCATGAATTAAGTTTACGCGAGTGTAGTATTGCTTACTATTAC